TTGAGGAACAAACCATGAAGAAAGTGTGAACGCAATCCCTCATCACAAAATTGTGCGGTTGAGTTTCCCACACTTGGGGAAACTCACAGGGGTCAGCCTGCCTGGGATGCAGTGGACAGGTCTTACCCTGGAAAAACCACCTATCCAGTTTTACAAAGATATATATATATATATATATAGTGTGTGTGTGGATAGATAGATCTACTTTAAGAGCCCTGTCATGTGACTGCTCCAGTTCACTTGACAGGCCCTGACATGTATACATTATTACACTATCCACTTCCCATTACAATAACTGCACCTGCATGCCCACTGCTATCTCTTTACCCGTTATAGTCGCACTGAACCACCTTCAATCCCTCTACCTTCTCCCCCCCTCTGGCCCCTTCCCCAGTCCTTAATCCACATCAGCTTCATTGTCCTCCTCTTCGTCATTGTCCTTGTTGCTCACCCCCTCTTTGTCACTGTCCTTGTCTTTGTCTTCATGGTTGTTGTCTTTTTGGGTGCCCTGCCCCTGAGCAGTCCATGCCAGTCCCTTCTCTTCTATATGTCCACCTCTCCTCCCTATTGTCCTCTACTGACGTCTTGTAGTACAGCTGCATCTCGCTCAGTCCCATCCTGCCACAATCCTCGACTGAAAAGTTTGTGTGCCTGTACATGAACTGTTTCCTGGTCTTCCACAGGATGTTCCTGAAGCAGGAGAGAAACTGGTCGAAGTAAGTCATCAGGGTCCCCTGCTGCTTGATGAGGTGCTTGTATAACACCACCTCTCTGATCATGGTCTTGACCCCTGTCACCATCATGAGGAATAGGATTAGCTGCATTATTATTTTTATATAATTTTTCCCATTCCCGCATGCTGCAGAGCCCCTGCACTGAGGCACCCTGTGCCCCAGCCGGCCAGGGAGCAGCACGTGGAGATGGGAGGCACAGGCAGCCCAGGGATGCCTGCTTCCCTGTCCCTGAGCTGTAGAGCCTCCATGGTGAGGTACCCTGCACCCCAGCTAGCCAGGGAGCAGCTGGCTGGGGCACAGTGTGCCTTGAGATGGCAGCACTGGGCTGGCTGCTCCCTTGTCTCCGTGTGCCTCAGTGCGGGGTCCGCAGTGGAGCCTCTGCACTGAAGCACATGGAGCCCCCATCTCCAGGCACCCTGTGCCACTGGCTGGGGCAAGTAGTGCAATGTGCCTGGAGATAGGGCTCCACATACCTCAGTGCAGGGGCTCCACAGCAGAGCCCTCATGCTGAGGTACACAGAGGCAGGGGAGAAACCAGCGCAGGGTTCCCTGAGTTGCCTGCTCTCCCATTTCAAGGCACGCTCTGCTCCAGCCAGCTGCCTCATGGTTGGCTGGGGTGCTGTGTGCTCTGTGCCGGGAGATGGGCTCCACGTGCCTCAGTGTGGGGGCCCCACAGCAGAGCCTTTGCACTGAGGCATGTGGAAAAAGGGGAGCAGGCAGCCCAGAGCTACCTGCTTCCCCGGCATGAGGCACATGGCCCCAGCCAGCCAAAGAGCAGTTGCCTGGGGCACAGGGTGCCTTAGCATGGGGGATTTGCAGCATGTGGAGATAGAGGAACAGGCAGCCCTGGGCTGGCTGCTTCCCTGTCTCCACGTGCTGCTCCCCGGCTGGCTGGGGCACAGGGTGCTTGAGCGTGTGGGCTGCCTGCCAGTTAGTATGGTCCTGAGGCACACTGGCCCAGCCAGCCCCCCCACTGCAACACATGAAGCAGGAGGACAATGTGTCCCGCTGCAAACCGCATGGGCTGGGGCATGTGCTGCAGCAAAAAGTGGCACAAATTTGTGCCACTACTGTTTGTTCTGCTGCAAATGTGTCCCTGCTCATGTGGATGCAGCCTAGCTGTCTTTATGATCTCTGAACCTGGAGACAGGAAAACTTGTTCACTGCAGACCAGTTGCTGTAAGCCATTAGTTCCCCTTGGGCTACATCTTTGAATGGAACCTCCACAGCCTGAACTTGCAGCAAGCTGCTTCCAATGTCTTTATGCAGCAAGCAGCTGTCATGAAACCCAACTGGTTATTGGCTGTCATCCGCTGTCTCAGCTATCCAGACTTGCTCCACTTCCAGAGATCAGATTTCCCTATTCTTGGATGGGCATGTATTTCTCAGGCACTTGTCAGTGATGTGGGATACCAATTCTTTCCTTTAAAAAACCAGCTTTTTCTCAGTGACTGTATTTACCTACAGTGCTTTCCTGAAGTTTTGTATTATCACCAATTTCTAATATTCTACAAACCAAACTTACCACTTCCTAATCATTCAAAAAGTCCTGAACCAGACTGGAATCCACTCTCCTCTTGTGTCCAACACAGAGCTATGCCACCAGGGCTCCCGGCCATCAGTCTTCACATTCCTCAGCAGTGGCTTCTTCCTCTCTTGGGGCTCTGGAGAGAGATAGACAAGACACTGGAGCTGCATGACATTCTTTGGGTGTGGGTGGGTCCCCTTTACTCACCCTTTGTGGACTGCAAATGCAAGTTCAGGTGAGGATTTGTTGATCCGTTCAATTCTAATTTAGCCTAGCTAGGAGTCCTCCTTGGCATACCCTGACACCCAGCATGCTTGTGTCCACCAGCCAGGGGGTTTCTCATTTCTATCACCTTGCTTTTAGCTGTGTCCTAGCCCCTGCTGACTGATAGCTTACTTCTGTCACATTGTCACAGCATTCAAGCTGGGTGCAAGATTTGCCCTCCATTCCAGCTATTCATTTTGACTGTAGAGATAAAGCCTCTCAGGGAGATTTTTCCCTCAAAGATAGGTTTTTTTCTCACTTGAGCTGGGAGATTATTGCTTCTCCCTTGTGGCCTACTCAGGGTTCTAAATGATACAGAAAACTAATAAATTCCCTGCCATGCCCAAGTTCTCTGTCTAGCCTGATTTCACCATCAAGGGCTTGATTTCCAATACTGGCACAAACCTTCACTTTCTGTCTGGAGCTGGTCTTTTATGTTCAGATTAATCAGTCCTTGCTGCAGTTTACCTCCATTAGCAAGTTCCAAACTGGCTTTCCATGTCTCCCCTATCAGTATGTGGCAACTACGTTCCTGGTCCACCTGTCTTGCTGGTCCAGAGTAGAGTTACATATGTGGACTTCCCAGCCTGCCCTGGATGCTTTTTAAGCTGCTGTCACAACAAAGATTTAATCTCTGACTCCAAATTACTGCTCAGCTGTTCCTGGGGAACTTCCAGATGATGCTTAAATTCTTTTTGTAAAGCCTCTAACTCCTGGTTTAATTCTCTTTCTAATTCCCTTTATGCCATCTTTGATTTCTGTGAACACGGACATTTCCTTCATCTTCTTTCAACAGGGATACCAGATTTCAAATTCTCTTTGGAAACTATGGGCACCTGTAGGCACGTGGGGACGCTGTTCTGACACTATAATTACAGTGCATCAGAGCAGACACCATTAATCGAGTCTGCTGGAGCATGCTAACTAGCATACTCCAGCAGCCTCTGCGTCTCGTGTATCAGCGTTCCTGCACTTCAAAATGGCAGTGGGAGCACTTTAAAGCTCATTTGCGCTTTAGTTAAAGCAGCCCTGTCACTGTTTTGAAGCACAGGGACACTGATACATGAAATTGTGCCAGTGCTCTAATTAAAGCCCCCCACCCACCCCTGGAGTATGTGTAAAAATGCCCTATAACCCTAAGTCTGATACCAGTGTTATTACCATCCGACTAAGCGGTTGCCAAAAACTTAAGCATCTTGTAGTTGCTCCAGACAAGAGGGGAAATTGATGATGGAGTCATATGTTTCTTTGATGCTGTCCTGATTGTTTACAAAAAATGTTGAAAGTTCTGTCTTCCTGAACATACAGGAATCAAACAATATGAGACAGTTTCTTTCTTTGCTCATAGCGTCAAAATGCTTTCAGCTGGAATTCGGAGTGGAAGCTCTCACAGCTTTCTTCAGGCCTTTTGCCAACCTCCTGGTGCTTGGTTGGACTGCATCTAGTGGTTCCTTGCTGCCTTCTTTCTGATTGTCTGGGCTTTGCTGCCTCTTTCACAGATGTGCAGGACTTCACCAAACAACACCCAGCAAGACCCCCTGCACCCACATGTTCCATGTATATGTTTCTTTTTAGATAATAACATCCATCTATGTTTTGGATGGAGAGTACTATTTTTGTGCTATCGGATTCCACAAAGAGCTTTGTTTGTACCACAACAGAATGAAGTGTTAATAATATGTGACTTGTGCCAGAATGCATGTTTATCTAAAATAATTTTGTCTAATTTTTCTCTCTTTTGAATCTTTCTTTCTTAACCTGCTTTCCAGTTTTTCATTTGTGTTTTCTTAAGGAATCTGTTGTCTGTTTTTGTTTTGTTTTATTTTTTAAAGAGGCACAAACTACTTGATTAAAAAACAAACAAAACACTCATTTTTAAAAATTCCTGTTTTCACTGCAGTTCCCTTTCTTATGTGCTCTGACCTGAATTTTGTTGCTGTTGTTTTAAAGGGATGTTTTAAAATTATTAAAGTAACTTAAAAGCTTCCTTATAAATATCTATGAAGGATCTCTTAAGCAAAAGAGAAACTGATTAGACAGGGCAAAACAGTCAAACTGGCCACACATCTGCTGCCTAGCACATTTCCCTGTGCTTCCTGCTGCACAGAGGGGCAGGAGGAGCTACTGGAAGGGGGAGGGAGCTGAACAGTGCCCAGGCAGCTAAAGGCCCACCAGGAAGCTGTGTGCTCTGGCCAGGGCTGGACCAGTGCTGTCTGGCAGGCATTGGGTGGGTGTGGGTGGGAGTGCGTCATGGGCAGGAGCAGGTGGGACTCGGGGGCAGTCATGGGCTGAGGGGGGACAGGGACAACTGACTGCACCTGCATCTGAACCCTACCTGGGCAAGCTCTGCTGAATGCAATTTCCTTTCCCT